TTTAGAAACAAAAATAAAAAACATGCAAAAAAACACAACCAAAAAACATATTTTTAAAAACAAAAGAAAAAAATGATCCTGAAGAAGCCCTTAGTAAATATTGGTGGTAGAGATGTTTGATTGCAGACTAAAAGATTTGGGGGGATTTAAGAAAATCTAGTGAATCAAGTTGTCGTAAATTTATTTAATCTTAGTTTTTTCCAGGATATAATAAATTCTGGAGTAAGCCATCATTAATCAAATCAATTAATCAAATCCTTCTAAACTCATGATTTATTTCTTGATGTATTTTAAAAAAAAACCCTTGTAAATCTATTCGAAAGATCTAGCTCAAACCAACTGAAATCCAACTCAAAAGTTGCAACACAACAGCCGCCAAAGAGTTAAGCCATTCCACATCCTGAAATTCTATAAAACCTTGAAATAAAGTAGTGAGGGTACCGGAATGGCCAATTCAGAATTACACCGCATAAGCATGGAAAAGCGCATGATTAAGTGGTTAAAAAACAGAGTGAATGCAAGGAATCAGTTAAAATCCGGCTAAGAGAGAGATCGAGCCTCTCGATTTATTATAAACTTAGAAAAAGGAAACGATTCTGACAACAAACCAAAAATATGAATCGAAACTTCCGACCTAGATCAAAATTAACCATCAATGATGAGCCAAAGGACGTAAGAAAAAAATAGGTTCTAGCTTTAAATTCCGTAGATGATTACTCTTTTGTCTCAAATTTCGATTATTCATCGGATGATAAAGAGAAGATAACAGAATCAAAAGAAAAGAGAAGCAAAGGGGCAAGAAGTACCATTCGAACGTAGGGGTTATCACCTAGACAAGACTCGCAAATGATCGGGAAGTCAGAGCGCTCCCAACCGTCGGCCTGAGCATCTCGGAGCAGTCGATGCGCCATCAAAGAGTGAACTGGGAAAAACAACGATGAAGAGAGAGAGGTAGGAGATGGAAATCGCGAGAGAGGCGGCCCGAAGAGACGATCTGCAAATATCGTGTTTGTGCCGGTACCTCACCGGGTTGGATCCGAGTGCTGACGGCTAGTGCCGTCAAAAAATCAAAGTTTGGGTGTAAAATAAGTAAATACATAATAATTTGCTGTAAATTTCATAAAGAAAGGCTAGCCTGGTATGCTCTTTGGTAACAAATATAAAGAGGGATTTGACCTAAATCCTGTCAGGCGGTCAGTTTGAACAAATTAAGGGGTTGTTTGGCTGAATAAAATATTTTAGAGTTAGTCAAATTTAGTAACAATCCCCTTATCGGATTTATTAAATGTAGATTTAACATGAATCGAAGATGAAATTCGGACCTTGAATCTTAAATTTCATAAATATATAGAGCTTGTGTGTTTTTTTTTTCTATTTTTTGGTTATATTTAATAAATTCGATAGACAATCCTTTTAATAGTGTGTTATCAAACACCCACTAAAGCTGCATATTTCATGAATTCGGATTTTAGGGCCTATATGGTAATGGATTTAGAGCATGATTTAAGCTCGATTTAACCTAAATCTTACCAAACATTCATTTTGGACAAAATGAAGCTGTACATTTGATAAACTTAGATTTCGTCGATTTTTGCCTGAAATCCATGATTCACTAAATCCAATGAACCGACGGAGCAAATTTAGTAAATTTGGGATGAGCTTTCACTTAAAAAGCAAGATGTCAAGTTACCTTTGGGTAGGAACATAGCATAAAGAGGAGAAAGATAGGAAATTTGAGTCTTTGTGCATTGCGATCCCGTTGTTGCCTTCCCAGTTATCTGTAATCAGTTATCTGTAATCATAATTGTATTGTGAAGGTTTGGTTGCAAAGAAGATAGTTTTGGGCGAAACTAGAACCTGATGAGGGATCTTTATATGTCATTATGATAGTTGGAGATGTCTAGTTGGATCTTCCTTTAATAATCTCTCTTTTGATGGTTGGCTTAGATATCTTTTGCCCAGTATCTGACTAAATGACTTACTTTTGTATTCTCCAGTTGTATTTAATCAGTCTCGTGGTTCAGTTGCCTTTGGCTTTACCAGCTTTTCTTAGACAGCTTAAGTCGGTAGAACAGGTAGGTTTCATGATCTTCTATCGGTTGGCTTTCCTCCATCATACTCTTTTCTTCTAGACCATCATATCTCATTAGGATTAGTACATGATATTTTTTTAAGTTGAGGCAGGTGGAGCCAGCCCACTAAACTTTTTTGGCAACTAATTAATTACGTCCAAATTAATTATTCCTTCCTTTGTAAAGCTCGCCTGGACTCTTACATATTTGATCTCCCGCCTCCTGAAGAATTAAATGAACTCACGCGGTCCCTCCAGAACTCTCCCTCTTGCGGACTCTCACGCGGAAACGCAAATTGAAATTGTCTGTTTTGCTTTTTAACACCTCTTATAAAAGCACAACAAAAGGTCTGCTAATTCATCTCTCCCAAAACCCCTCCATTGTTGGTGCTTCTGAAAAAAAACAAAAAAAAGTTTTTTGCATTTGTTTTCTCTGCCTTGCTTTTTACCAGGAGACTTACGGTGGAGAGAAAGAAAGAAAATCAAGCTTCTCTTTTAATAGGTGCATCTCTCCGTTAGAGAGAGAGAGAGAAGGAGAGGAGAGAGAGAGCTTTTTTTCTTGTAAGTCGACGTTGTCGATGTCATAATCTTCGAAGTAATAAAATCCTCTGCAGCTTCGTGGATGTAGGTAATTTGCCGAAACACATAAATATGTGTGTGCTTCCGCTGTGTTTTCTATTTTGTGTTTTTCTCGATTCAATTTTTGTTTTATTGTCGTTGTTTTTCACAACAACTGGTATTAGAGATTTTGTTCGCGACTGAAGAGAAGAACAGTGGGCGAAGATGAAGCGATAACATCGGGAATCGAAAAGTTCAACGAAACTGATTTGATTACTGGACGATGCAAATAGAGGACTATCTATATGGGAAGAAATTTCATATTTTGTTACTGAGCAAGAAGCCGGAAAAGATGGGACGAGGCGGAATGAAACATGTTGGATCGACAGGTTATAGGGGTTATTCGATTAACTCTGTCGAGATCTGTTGCCCACAACATCGTCAAGAAAAGAACTACTGTATATCTCATGACGGCTTTATCAGGTATGTATAAGAAGTCATTGGCGAATAACAAGATCCACATGATGAAAAAGTTATTCAACTTGAAGATGTCGGAAGGTGTGTCTGTTGCTCAACACCTAAATGAGTTTAATATCATCACAAATCAATTGTAGTTTGTTAAAATTGATTTGATGATGAGATACGTGCGCTGATATTGTTGGTTTCATTATTAAATATCTGGGAAGTCATGAGAATGACAGTTATCAGTTATGCAGATAAATTTAAACTGAAATATGATGATATTCGTGATTTAATTTTGGTTGAGGAGGTGCGCGAAAAAGATTATGGCGAGAACTCGGGTTCAAGTTCTGCATTGATTGTTGATTCCAGATAGAGATCACAAGACATAAACTCAAACAGAGAAATATCAAAATCAAAGTTTGGTCAGAAAGCAACCTGCTGAAATTGTGGCAAGGTTATCTACATAAAAAAGAACTGCATGAATCCTACGAATAATAAGAATAATAGCACAAATGTGATAACTAAAGAGATACATGATACACTATTGTTGACAATTCACAGTTTTGTTGATGACTGGATACTGGATTTAGGGGCTTACTTCTATACATCTTCTCACATGAAGTTGATGTAAAATTACGTTGCAGGTGACTTTGGAAAGATATATGTGGCTGATGGAACAACTCTGAACGTGTTGGGGGTTGGAGACATTGATATTACACTTTCTAATAAGAGCAAATGAACTTTGCAAAAGGTCACACACGTTCCTAAGTTGAAGAAAAACCTCATCACTGGTTGACAGCTCAATGAGGGTGGTCATTCGGTAGTGTTATCAGATAGCACCGGAAGGTTACCAAATGAGCATTAGTACTAACTCGGGGTAAGAAAACTAACACACTATAAATGACTACAGATTTACTCAGACGTTGACACATGAGTCAGAGGTGCATTATGGGGAAGCAAAAGAAAGTCAGTTTCCTAAAAAGTGACAGAGCGCTAAAGACAGGAAAACTGAATCTTATACAAACAGATGGTGGAGAATGATCCTGATGGTCTATATAGATGTTTATTGCGACGTATGCGATATATGCTTAATTTCCTTAATGGTGATTCATATTTTGCAACAAAGCCAAAAATTTATTCCAAAGCAAAAGCTAGGTAGTTTTTCTACCATGAAGCAAACAAGAATATAATTATAATATTTAAATATGAGATGCTACGTAAGTATACGTATCGTCCTCAATAAATATAACTTTTTTTTATTAAGCCCCGAATATCGAACCCATAGGCAAAACTGACAATATGCACTTTTAAAAAAACTAGAAAATTTAGATAACAAAAATCCTACTCGGCAAAATATTCTTACTTAAACTTAAGATACTATAATAGAAATGAAAATTTGAATCTTTTTGTAATTTTTTATAATTGAAAATAAAGTAAACAACTAATTAACTTAACTAAATATTTACAAGATGAAGACAATATAAGTAAAATATCGTTTTATTTATCATGAATTAGTAACAAGTATAAAAATTTAGTTGTGGAAGTATTCTAAATGTGTTATGTCAAATAGGAGCAATAAAATTTTTTACTCTTACCATAGATGCTATAAAAACCATTGTCTAATCTATAGTTTGAATAGTTTTGAAGAATGATTAGATAAGAAATATATCAGCTCTCACTTTAGAGTTCCCTCTTCTCCCTCCACCTAGGGGCTAACATCTCGTATCAAAACTTAAAACAATAAATCAAATTGTGGGTTTTAGTCTCTCACTCTAAAGTCCTCTAATTTTACACCCATGAAAGTTTATTTCCCTATTTATTTAAACTCAACCTCATGAATTACGTTCTCATCCCTGAAATCAATGTGCGATTCTTACCATTTGTTGATCGAGACAATATCATCTTAGATCTTACATGTTCTTACAACAGATATTAACATTTTAATTGGTCAAATAAAAAAATAAATGAAATACAAGGTTTCAAATCAACATAACTTTTTCCAACTTTGGAGTCTAATACTTCACACAACATCCTTTCAACACCTAATCACTTATCATTTTAAGAAAAAAAATAATGAAAACTACTCAGAACCCATTGAGAAAACACAACCACACACAACCACACATGAGTTTAAAAGTAGAAATCATGCACAAAAATAAAAAATCTAGATTAAAATCAAATGTAGTTACAAATATAAACACTCATCTAAAATTGTCTCAACCAAATGTCTGAAATTTCCTTTGAATTATCTTCATTCACTCACAATACAAACTAAAACTTAAAAGAAAATAGAAGGTGGTTGGCGGCGGCGGTTACTTAGATGGATGATGACTGTTGGATGTAGATTCTCTCTCCTCCGATGATCCAAGTCTTCTTTAATAAAAATCAAAGGGGTGTCTTGGTGTCTCTTCAAAATGTGTCTTCATTTAATGAATCTTCTAGAAGCTGTTAAGTTGTCTCTTTTTAAAAGGCAATTGAATGAATTTTCGTGTACATGGGCTACTTCCCACATTTTTACCAAAGGTTTCTTCAAACACATCTTCAAAAATTCATCTAAATTTAATGAATCATAAAATAACTACTTCTGGCGCTTAAACGCGGGGTACCTAGCACTTAGGTGTGACTCTCTATTTATAACTGGCGCGTAAGTGTCAGTCCTGGGCGCTTAACACACAAGCAACTTTCATCAAAGCGTAATATTTAAAAAATAGGTATAAATATGTGTATAAAAAGTCTATATATTTTAGGTGTATCAGATAACCATAAAGCTGTGAAGAAATATTGCAAGATGAAAATTCGAGCAAGTGAGAGCTTGCAAAACTTCTACCAGGGAAGAAGGAATTGCATAACAAGTGGGTGTAACGGGTGAAGACTGTGTTTGATGGTAGTAAGAGGTAAAAGACTGGACTTATTGAAAAAAGCCTTCAGCTGAGACAGGATATTGCTCATGCAGTGATAATTGTAAGTAGATTC